AACGATAATTTTTTTAAACTAAAAAAAAAATAGAGAGAGAAATGGTAGCCCACTCAACCCGTGCCTTAATATTACTTTGAAAACACTTCAAATTGCTTTTGTCGACCACCGCTCCGGGTCGGTGCTTGGCGCAGCCTTCGCGGGCTGGGAGGTGTCGGTTGAACCTCTCTGCCGTTCGGCCCCTGATCAAGCTAGAGCTCGCGGAAAAAACGAGTGTGTTGCCTGTGAGTGACGAGAGGAAGCCGATGATACCCGATTTTAAGGTCCTTGGTCATTGGTTGACCTTCCAGGGCGGTGTTTCACGGTCGCGCTGCCAGCCGCTGCCAGCGCATTCCGCGAGCTAAGGTCAACCTTCGGTAGTGTTGTAGGTATAGGCTAGTTGATGTCTCCATGGAAACCAAAAGTGCCAACAGCGCTGGCAGCGTGCCGTGAAACACCGCCCAGGTCAGGTCACAGACCCAAAAGACGGGAAAATCAGGGCCTGTCAGAACCTCCTAAAGTAAGGCTGTAATATATTTTTTTGTGCTGATCACGAATTTCATGTTAGTTTGGATCATAGATGATGTCTTCATGCCTTTAGGCCATGTCGGGGCAGGCCAGGTCAGGTCAACCAGGTCAACCAGTACTTATGGGCGTCCGTGTAGCAGGTGTCCGACTACCACTGGCAGCTACGTAACATGATACGAAGGCATCAAAACTACTTCGTAAATGTTCAAATGGTTGCTAAATGCTAAATTCAAAATCAGCTAAACGAAACTATCCTAGAAACATGTTAAACTCGGAAAAGTGCACCGAGGTCATCAAAGGTCAATGACCTGACTTGACCCTAAGGTGACATTGACACCTACCACAATGGTTGGGACCAACATCATTTCACATGTTTGAGCGTTTTAAACCACGAAAAGACTGTAAACGAGCGGATAATGTGAGCCGACATACGCGGAATCGCGATTCCGGCCAAACATGGCCTCAAACATGGCCAAACATATGGTGCGTTCGGAGAGGCACATTCCACGTGGAATCCGTGGAATACTCCATGCGCGCGGAACATTCCCGGAGATTGGCCGTTCAGAGAGATAGGTACGCCTCCGAACGCGGCACGGGGAATATTCCAGGCACGGTATATAGAGAACTGGGGACGGTGAATATTCCATGCTCTCCGAACGCACGGATAGTCTCGAGAAATAGGCCACAGGTCAAAGGTCACTTGGGTCAGGGTCATGAAATTTTCAGACTTTGTCAACATGAGGGTGCTAAAGTTTCGTCGCGATCGGATTGATGATAACTTACACGATAACTTCACGCGTCGATCGAGAGGTAAAGTATGCAATAAGAACTTCTTGGGTGAAGACGAGACCAACACTCAAGCTCACATATTTTTAATGATACGGTAGTTTCTACCTACTACGCTACTTTCTCACATTCATATTTCTTAAGTGTTTTTGGGGGCCAAAATACATGTTGCCCCCTTTCAGGCTTGGGGGCATGACCCCGTGGCCCCCTGGATCCGCTAGGCCGAAACTAACTAGGCCGTTTTCAAACGGTCTGATATTTCAGGTCGTGGTTTGCAAACGGCCGGTGTTTTCAGGCTGTTTCATATGCCCTGACTGGGCCAGGCCGTTTGCAAACGGACAATTTTCATACGGCCTGTAACATATATTCATATTTCACCATCTGTCGCAGCATCAAATGCTGATGTGGTGCACTCAAAAGCCGGAATTGGTCCTTGGATTCCGTAAGGACCCTTTTAAGAAATAAGTGACCCGACTGACCCCTTAGAGATTGGCCTGAGCTCTGACCGAAATAAGTCTTTTACCGTTTCACGGGAAGGGACAAAAAGGTCCCTGATATGCTTCTTGTACAATTACCAAACAAAACAAGCTTTTCAACGCCAACTCAGTGAGTGTTCCTAAAAAAATTATTGCGCATATTCCGTGAATGAAAAATTGCCGGGTCATGTCAGGTCAGGCTGCCAGAGCAAGTTTGTTAACTTGACAGTTCAATCGATATGTATGCAATAAGACCTTCTCGGGTGACGACAAGACATGACGACACTTTATGAAGGAAGCTAGTAAACCAGGTAGTTTCTCCATAGGCGCGGGAACCGGGGCAGTGGGGACAGCTTGCCCACCCCCCAACTATGGGGCCGTGGGGGCGGTGCCCCCACAACTTTCAGACGGAATACCCCATTTTTTGCAAATGTTTTCTTTTTTTGTTGAAAAAAAGCCAAGGGATGAAAAATAAGTGGCCCAAAACCGGTGAGAAAACTAGATTCGGGGGGACCCTAGGTTGATCTCTGTTATGGTGTGCCCCCCCCCCCCCCCAGTCTGAAAGTAGTTCCCGCACCCCTGAGTTTCTCTAAGTACGCTATTGAATCACGCCGGTGATTCTAACTTTTAGGTATCTACTACGCAACCTTCTCACATTAATTTTTCTTCAAGCGTTTTGGGAGGGGGGCCAAAAGATATGTTGGCCCCCCTTTCAGGCTTTTGGGGGGCCATGGCCCCGGTGGCCCCCTCCCTGAATCCACCAGTGGGGGGCGGTGCCACCACAACTTTCAGACGGAATACCGCCCTTTTTGCAAATGTTTTCTTTTTTTGTTGAAAAAGCCAAGAGATGAAAAATAAGTGGCCTAAAACCGGTGAGAAACTAGATTTGGGGGGACCCTAGGTTGATCTCTATTATGGTGTGCCCCCCCCCCCCCCCCCAGTCTGAAAGTAGTTCCCGCACCCCTGACTTTCTCTACGCTATTGAATCACGCTGCTGATTCTAGTAGGTATCTACTACGCAACCATCTCACATTAATTTTTCTTCAAGCGTTTTGGGGGGGGCCAAAAGATATGTTGGCCCCCCCTTTCAGGCTTTTGGGGGGGGCCATGGCCCCGGTGGCCCCCCCCCCCCTGGATCCGCCAGTGCAGTCACAGACTCTATACACACCTCCACAGACACAGAGAGAAGACACCGCCACAGACACCGCCACAGACATAGAATCTACGCATCGCCACAGGCACAGACACCGCCACAGACACAGACTCCACACACCGCCACAAGCACAGACAGTAGACACAGACATAGAATCTACGCATCGCCACAGGCACAGACAGTAGACACCGCCACAGACACAGACTCTACACAACGCCATTCTACGCAGACTCTACGCCGTCACTGGGGTCTAAGAAGCTTCAGTCTACGTACTATATATATATAATACCACCGCCACCCATACATACATATACTCTGCAGTAAATAAAGCCACTGGTCGCTGCATTTCATAATCGTCCTTGGGGAGGAATGGAATGAAATATTGATTGGTCTCCAAATGATTGAATGACAGTAAATTCGGGTTCACAAGCAAAACAAAAGTATGGAAAGTGCATCAGGCACGAGCATGGTATGTGTGACACGTGGTATGCGCCATTATAGTCACGGATATGAAATACGAGCCGCGCGGTTACAGAATTTCGTTGGTAGCCCGATCGCTTATACCTTGGGACATTTTACCTTGGGCTTGGGAAATTTGGGTGACCTTTACCAAGACAAGGGCAAAGCGAAGCGACATGAGAAAAACAGACGAAACGACGATAAAGACAAACGAGACAACAGCGCTCGTCTTCCCAGGGGTTTCGGCGTCAGTTGAAGACGCCAAGCGGCTTGTTTGGAACAGCACAGGAAAACGGAAAACACGCTTATCGAGTCGTGAACACATAACTGGGTGAGCGTGTACCGAACTGTGAACGAGCACTGAGCCTGGCCTATGTGCGTCTTATGTTCTATTCATGTGGTGCAAATTTGTAACGAAATGATTCTCTTTTGGTATGACGGCAAAAATGATGCAAATAAATGTGACGTCGATAATGTTAAAGAAGTGGGGTGTGGATGATTTTTTCCTTGCAGTCATAGTTTGCAAATTTTCAGCATTAAATGCTTTTTATATCCACTAGTGATATATTTTAAGCCTACCGTTCAGAATATGAACACTAGTTTTTCATGAAAATTAACTGTCATGTCCCCAATTAAAAAGGATTTCTTAGAAAAACTCGCAGTGCAATACAAAATAAAACGTTTGTGCCAAATGGCTTATCCCTTCGAATCCTTATTGCTATCCTTTGGCTTAGCCCTTCGAATCCTTATTGCTATCCTTTGGCTAAATTTACGGGAACTTCCGAGCGCCCAACTCCAAAGCAGGTGACGAGAATAGCGTACAGGGTAGGTACTGCAATTATCACCGAAACACAACACATTTCCTGTTCCTTTGTATCTTTTCCCACACCTCCGCAAGTTAATCTGAGAAAATATGAGCGCATCCGCCGACTCGCGTGCGAATGTGTACCCAGACACCTCACCACCCACTGTTTTAAAACTGAGGTGCACTGCAAATACTGCATAAAAAGCATGTGGGCGGCCACTATATTTGAATTTCGAAATTAATGTTGACAAAATAATGACAACAATTAGGGTAGTAAATGTCCTCTGAAGTAAGAGTTATTTTACATGAAGAGAACCAACAATTATTTAGTGCAGCTACAACCAAAGCATGACGAAATTGCTGACGTTTGTTTTTCTTCAAATTATCATAATAATGGAAAATGAACATTATCGACATTTGACCAAATGCAGTTCGATAGAAAGAAAAAGGATGCACATGACAGAGTTCTAATATATTGAGCCATGTATCAAGCATTTTGGTAAAAGATGAAAGGATGGACTTAGCCAATATTCCAATACACAGATGAACATGTGCACATGACGATTATAGAAACAATGTAACATCTGTTCCCTCAAGTTGTGTTGCCCACAGTCTCCGCTAGTGCTAGCGGGTCCTGTCTGACTATGACTGTCATTTGACTCAGATGACTCACCTTCTTAGTTGAAGGAGAGACTCAAACACATGACTGTCATTTGGCTCAGTTGACTCACCTGCCTGTAGGAGGGACTCAAACACGCCCACCAGGTGGCGGGTGTGGTTGACTCTGACTGTCATTTGACTCTTATTGACTCACCTGCTTGTAGGAGGGACTCAAACACGCCCACCAGGTGGCGGGTGTGGTTGTTCCACTTTAAACTAAATTGTTCGGTCCCCATTTTCTGAAACAGGAGACAGAAAACACGGTAAGGACACCAGGCACAAAAACAGTGAAACATCTCTTAATTATACCCAAAATACATAGGTACAATGCGTGAGACAAAACAGCTTGAAGCATGACAATAATAAAACTGGCACGGTGCGTCTACTCGTATGCAGCGTGAGTAACAGTGATTGCCTTAGAGCCTGAGAACCACTGGATTGTTCATTTTATTTTACAAACAGTCATAACGCAATTATGAATGAACGTGCATACCCACACACACACAAACACACTGTAAAAAGCAATACACAGCTGACTTTGCAAATGTGTGCCCACTGCACAACGCACACCGTGCCAGTTTTCACAGGGCCGTTTTACACCACCCAACTGCCGAGTCATCCTGAATCTGACACACCCAGCTGTCAAACCACGGGTGCCGGTGGAACACGGCTGACCTATGCTCGGTCACTGAGAGCACAGCGGCGACCTCGCTGAATGGTGGGTGAAAAGGCAGGAGGCAGCATTACAATTTCCCCATGTTTTATACCAACGTGAATCGGGTAAACGTTCAGCTGTTTGTTTGCCTAGCTCCTGGTCACATATCGACACTCGTGAGTCGTGTTGTTTTTGTTACATGGATTTGATATTGCCAATTATCTACGTCTACGCACGTATCAAAATCACCATCTCTCCTTGTTCACTGTATTTTCAATACCATGTGCTTTCTAGACAGAGATTGCAAGGTTCAAAGACTTTAGAGACCTGGGTTTTAGGTAGCAGATGGATTTTCGTCAATATTCGCTCATACGAGCGTTAGCGTCTGACGACATTCGACCTTTGGCCGGACAGCTGACCTTTAATATTTCTCAACAGATGGAACATGTACCCCAGTACAAGAAACGCAGACGTCGCACACTAAAGCTCGACCTTGTATGTATTAATAGTGTCAGTATATATTGCATAGTGTCAGTGGAATGCTTTCAGACAACGTTCAAATCACGGCGTGACACAGAGCACGAAGTGCGAGCTCGGCCCGTCACGCTGAGAACACGGATCGAATGTTTGTTTATGAATAAACAGAACGACGCTGCGAGTGTGCCTAGAAACCTACCAGAGTGTCATGCCCAGTGTGTCAGGGTTGTACGTACTCGCACGATTAATGTATGAGGATTGAGGGGTAGAGAGGTTCCATTTGGCGGGAAAAATAAGGGAGAGATGAGAGATGTTTGAGTGAGGGAAGGGTGGTGCTGCATAAGTGCACGATGAGCGCACAGACGGTTCAAAGCACGGCGCTTTGTTGCTCTGAAGCGGCCGCTTTGTGTTTTGGAGGCGATCAGCTTGAAGCGATGAATACAGCCGACACAACATTCAACAGGAATCGATGATCATTTCAAGTTCATCGCTTACGATGGGCAACCATCTCCTTACGCATGACTTATGACAATGTCAACAAAAGCCTTTTACAATTCCTGAGCGACTGAAATGTATGCCTGCAGCAGAAGCAACCAGGAAACAGCACCCCAACGCTAGAACAAATAGTTTTTCGCAAGTTGAACATCTCTCAATACACATATTCCCTGTTTGAATAGGAGCAATTGGACCCCGGGGCGCTCTTCGTATGGCTAGCAATGCCGTTCATGACAGGTCCTTTCACAAAACTCCAATCGGAGGCACAATGGCACCCAACGCCGCACAGTGGAATGGTAGAAAATGGTCCGGTACAATGGTGCTGAGTGTGCAACAGAAGCCAAGGTCACCACTGGAAACGTGACGTCCCTGCGCGTAACGGAACGTTACGCTGTCCAAACAACAATGGACGGAGAGAGATTGAACGAGTGAGTCTGGGTAGCACGAATGTGATGCGAAAATTTAGGGAGGGATAAGTGCAGGAAAATGAATGAAATGAGAATAAAATGCACACTGTAGGTGGAATGAGCATAAGCTTAAAAATATAGGGAATCATTTTATTCTAGATACATTGACAACGCACCGACAGTGGAACAGTTTTCACTACTGCTCAAACCACCAGACGATCTACCAGGACAATGCTAAGCCGGCTACCACCTCTGAATGCAAGCCTGAGGTCAGGTCAGGCAGTAGGCACGATGACCTGACCTCGCAGACTTCACCCATCTCTACACGATTAGACGCCTGATGAGATCACATCACATGCCGCATCTGCACACGATGCCGCTTCTAAAAGTGGCTGGAAACCTTCATCCGAGACGTTGGAGCGATAGCTGTTCGTTCCGTGATGCATAGTCAATAGTCATGAGGGCGTATCCAGCCATGTACCAACAGAAGACAACGGAACCGCGATCTGAGCTCAGAATGCGGCATGAAACATGATACGTGATTGAGTTGTGACATGAAGATTGAAAGCATCTATGCATGAACTTTGAATGCAGTGACCTTGTAGAGCGTCAGTTGTCAAGGTGATGAATTATCTCTGGTGTGGTGCTAACCATATCCACCAAGCACGCTAGAAGGGCATGGTGGGTTTGTGACGTCATCACACATAATTTATGTCATGGGAGTGCATGGTTCCGTGTGAGTTTCATTGCATTATAATAGATTTATGACAGCGTGGTGTAATAATACGACTAAATTCAAATATAGAAATGTAACACCCGAAAATAAAGAAGGGGAAGAAATGAAGCAAAAATTTAAGAAAACGAAAGACCTATCAAACGGGATCGGATGAAAATTCACAATAGGAAGCATTTAAGAACCAAGTTGACTGGTAAAAGGCCGTTTGACTGGCGTTTGCGAGGCAAAGTGTGCATTCTGCCATCCGGTCAGACTCCAGACAAGCAAAAAAAAAAAACTGTGTCAACGGAGTCAGCAACAAAGTCCGTAATTTCGAGTGTATTACACGCAGCTATCGAACACCGATTGAAACAAACACTGGAAGCGGCGTGACATGCATGTTTGTAAACCACCGTAACCGGGTGTTCTATTTGACAGCAGTAGTGAATGAACGTGACATAATGCTGTAAGACAACTTCTTAGATGAAGGATTCCTCGTGTTGTTGCTGATATACGAGTACCGTTGGAGTATGAGTTCGACTGGGAGTCTCATCTGCACGTTTTCAGTTTTTATTGTTCACAGAGGGTTTTGTGACACGAATGCTGTTGACAACTGCTAACTTGACAAGATGAAATAGCGTAACGGGTCTGTTGTCTTTGGGCCTTTGGTGGTGTCTGGTTGTGGATTATATTTAAGGAGGTGTTTGCATCTCTTCGACATCTGTGGTATATGAGAGAGAAAGAGAGTAGAGAGAGAGAGTGAGAGAGAGAGAGAGAGAGAGAGAGAAAGAAAGAGGAGGGAGAGAGGGGACACAAGAACTGAACTGAGAGCTAGCCTAGTAAAAAAACCTAACATTTCATAATGAAATGGTGCCTATGTAACAAAACCGGAACACATTGAAACATATTCCCAACACATAATCTGTTTTATATCCTGAGGTATTTCAAGTTTCAATACGACAACCTGAGCACTGAAGTTGTGTGCAGTGTACATCAACATAACCGGTCATTACACACAATAGGCCAAATCAGAATGGGTGCCTTTCTTACGTTTCTATTCCCGCCTGCCATATGTTATGTGTCTAAGTCCCGTTACACTATTCCGCTATGCCGTGTTTCACAAATGACCCTCACAGTCTCTGACCTGTTGTCGCACATTTGCACCAACATTTGCTCAATATCAGCTTAGTCATCTGTGTAGCACGGCTGCAGACATATTTACACGTCGCGCTTTTGTCCTCCGCTGGCGCCTGCCTTTGGTTCTCCTCCAAATCTTTTCAACACAAAACTGGTAATTGGAAATCGTGACTGGCGACAACAAAAAGACGTAGAAAGTAGCATGGCGGTAGAAGCGATTTTTCAGTGTTTCGTTTCGGCTTCTCAAAGAACGCTGGCGTTGACAATGTGGATAGTTGTGTTGTACTAAATTGTGATACAATTGGCTGCTATTGGAAATACCAAGCGAAGGATAATGATAAGCACAACAAAACCAGCTCTAATACAAGCGCATGAATGCGTATGATACAGGCACACTGCAAAATGAAGAGATACTTGCGCGTGGATTAGCACTACTGCTTTATGAGCAAGAGCGGCCATTCGAAACAATCAGGAGCCCTGACAACACGTGTGAGCTCTGAGCCAAATATCCATGTGTCTTCAATAAATGTAGGTACTTACATGGGAAACGGGAACACGAAGTGGCATTCATAAAGTGATATTTTTATCGAAACACATGGGCTGCGGAGCTTGTGTTGTGAACACTTGTTCTGACTGCTTTAATAATTTAAATCCATATAGGTGGTTCGTTCGGAATGTGGCTTGCTAAGCGATTCACTGAAATAACTACAATACCACTACCATTGAACAATCAACAAGTACCGTTTAAGGTCGCAATGGTACAATACAACACACCTTGCAATCTGTCCTGAGCGCCTTATTAGCTCAATCCTGTGCGCCTGTATTTACCTCACAAGGTATGTGCTATTCGCGTATCGGGTGACTTAAAGCCGTTGCATAAACCCCGTTACATACTTTTTTCGTCTTTAGCTTCAAATAGAGTTATGTGCCGATAGAATCTGGAGGAAACCGTCGCTCGCCAGGAATTGAGGCGTTATGGAGGTGCCTTGGGTCCTGTCTGGTACAGGAAAATCGTGGCTGAAACGTCGATGTTTCATTTCAGATGCTGCATGTTGTGATCTAAGATTTTCTACAGTGCGCTGGCAAGTATAAGTAGTTTCACTGTTTGAGATGATCTTGGATCAACTGAAAGCCAAGCCGTTTGTGATTTTAACTATCAGCCGGTGTATGTCAGTAACGGCAGTCCGGATCCATTGATTTCCATTCATTTGAATGAGGCCGGTACATACGACGGACGATGACTAATAACAGGCTGGGGGTCGGAGTGGGGTTGGGGTGGGGATGTGGACGGAATGTCGGTAGATAGTAGTAGTGGTGTATGGAGATAACCGACCTTGAGTGGAAAAACAGTGATTGGTCGACAGCTCAGTCACTAGGGTTAGTGCACCATGGCGTAGGAATAAGACAGAGGAAACGCTGAAAATACTTATCATTTGATAGCGAATGTACAGTTCAAGTTGTAGTACATATATAGAAACAGCTAGTTTGCTTAGAAGGTTGCAGAGTTCGCGTTACTTTTGGTTCAACATAATTTATGCGTCACTATGAGGAAGACTACGCGGTCTCGAAGCGGTAGCTAAACTTCGGAGAGAAATCAAGATAAATTCGACTCAAATAACTGAGAGTCCAATCCTTTAATGCCAACCAACTGAGGAAGACAGCCGGAGTGCAAGAAGCGAATATAAATTATGCAGCGTTCAATAATTCGAGAATAAATTGGAGCTGGCCGTTTAGTGCAAAATATCTCTTTCTCTTTATTATTTTACGGTTATCACAGCATTTCAATTTCAACGATAATCGGCGAGTAAACGGATCGATCCCAGATCCCACATCCGTTTTCAAAGTTCAGTGCCGTCCGTGCCACGCCGCCACCATGGCTACCACTGGGCCGGCCTTCCACTGGGCCTCACACGCGCCTTCAGGCCCAGGCACGACACGCGATAAAAACTTTTTTACACACCGACACCGACAGCCGGTCGGCGAAAAATGACAGCGCGATCCGTTGTTTCCACAAGTTTCCGCCGTGGCACGCTATCAAATTGCAATGCGGGATTTAGCGCGTGCTTTTTCTGCGCGGAATGAAAAATTTCATGCGAGCGATGATATGCTCAAGGTTATGGAAAAAGGAAGAGGCGGACGTTAAATTGGTACTTTGGATGGATTTGGCAAAACGAACATTAAATATATTTGGCGGTGGGATTCGAAATGACAAGCCTGGCGAGTGATGAGAGAACGCGATAAATATTATCGTCGCTACAAAATCATTGAACATCGATACGGTTTAACTAAACTGGATGTTAACAAAATCCCTTCCGAATTGCCTGCGTAAAACTTTTAAAATCATTCTCGCTCGCTGTTTGTTGCTGATAGGCGTGCTCATTACCGGTAAGGTATGTTACCTGCGAAGTAAAGTACATAAACATACCTCCTCCAGCGGAAGGTATGATATGATTAAATGCCAAGCCTGAATTGCATTAAATAATTTGGGAATGCATCTTTTGTGCATTCTGTGCAACTGTGCAATGCACGACCAAAATAAATTAACTGGTCAGTCACATTGTTGAAAATTAATGGGCTAAAGACATCCTTTAATTGACATGATGCCATCTGCTTTGCACGTGACCTCACACGAAAATGCAATTATTATGGTCTTGTTTCCTGACACAATGTAAAAGATAATGCAGAAAGATATACGTACATCGGTCCCTTGATTACCATTTATAAATTAATTTATTCAGCACTGGTAGTTGTTGATATCAACATTGCATTGCTCATGACGCTGACTGAGTTGACGCTGAACAGTATGGCTTTCTCGAGTTCATGGGTAAATGATAGAAAAAAAGGTTTAGTTTGTTTCACATGATCAATTTGAAGTAGTGACGTGTAATTGAAAGATGATACTATATTGGTTTTCATCAATGAGCCGGAAGCATTCAGCAATGTTTTCATGTTACAATTCGCAGCAAATTTTCATTGATTCAGCAATAGCATAGTCAAATATCTGCATCGCCGAAATTCCTGTGTGACAGTCCTCCACTAAATACAGCTTTACAAGAAATCGGGACAGGTGTATGTATCAAAGTTTAACAAAGTTAATTATGTTAAATAAGAATTAACCCTCGCCCTGGCAGGGCATTTTTCATAACACGGCCTGGCAGGGGGGGGGGGTCGATGCGACCCCCCCCCCTCGCGATTGGCTCCTATGGCACCTAGAAACACCAAATTTGGTAGGTAGGTGGGCCCCCTGGAGTTCTCGCCCTTGTGCAAATTTGGTTGCTCTAGGTCAATATTTAGGGGGGTTTTGGGGGGTATAAATGTAAAAAATTCGCTAAAAACAGGTCAAAAGTTTTTCGCTTATAACTTTTGATCTAATTAAGATAGAGTAAAAAGAAAGGCACCAGTGAACTCAGCACGTCAAGGCGCGTCGAATGATATACTTTTTTAGCTTGCTTAAGTGTACTTAAAGTTTTTCTTAAATTTTAAGTAAACTTAAATTAATAAATTAAGTTCAAGTTAACCAAATTGCATCATATCGCATATCATTCGATTCGGCTGATCACCAGGAACACAATGATACCATTTTTTAAGCTCTAGCGTCATTATGTGCCAAGTTATTGGCAAAAACGTCATTTGACCTCAGTTGACCTCATTTGACTTGACCCATGGATAAGTACACCAAACAAAGAAGCATAAAGTGACCTGCTGTTAAGTACCGTGGTTTCAAAGCACAAAAGTGATAGAACGAAGCGGATATCTCCAGTATTTTCCGAATTTAGTATTTTCCCATAGGCTTAACATTACAACGTAATGACCTCTAACTGACCTCAGGTCAGTGACCTCAAAAAAGCCGGAATATATGTTATACAACTCGGTGAACTTAGCACATCCTGAAAGTTTGAAGGAAATCAGTCAAAAAATGTGAGTTGGACAGGTGCAAAAAGAAAATTGAAATTTGACCATGACCTTGTACCGGTTTTTCTGACCTGGTGACCTGACCCAAGGTCACCCGGACCTGAAATTTTCAGGTCATATGTAAAAAGGTTGCCCCATAGGCTGTGCCAAATTTGGCGGCGCTGCGCGCCGCCGTTTTTACGCTATCTTCGAAAAACCTTAGGGGGGGGGTCGCATCGACCCCCCCTGCCAGGGCGAGGGTTAAGATTCATTCTAGGCTGATACAAAGAAGCATCCACAAGGTCAAAGTTATGGTCTCGAATGATAATTTTGTTATAAAATGAATTTATAATCAAATCAATCTGTGCTATTTTGTATAAATGCACCACAGTTTTGGATGTGAGTTCTCAACTGGTGCATGCCAATTGCCTAAAGTGGGACCACGGCCTCCTTTTGGAGATCAAGCACAATTATTATAAATTTTAGAAGCAGAACGAAAGAAATACAAGAATTTCTAAGCCATCTCACGCAGCCATCGATAGAGTGGACATTGCTGCAGGGACTCATTTGTGTATCACCAGCCAGCACATAACACCACGTGGTGTCGATTGGGCACCAGTCGCACCACAGGTGTACTTGGATCCCCATTCCCACACCTATGCCTCCGCAGTAGGTGTATTCTATCGAACATCCATCACTATTCTACAGCCACCAAACCAAACCATATCACCAACAGCGCCTCGGCTGCTTCTCTGCTCACTAGCGTGGGGGCGCTAATCAGCACGCGGGGGCCGGGCTCAGTTTCTCCCGCCGCCCGCCGCCCGCACCGCCCGGCGAACCGACAGACGAGTGACCTTGTACGAGGCGTCTCCGTTTTCCTTCCGACCCCCATCCCAAGGACGCTCTCCAGAAATGTCACACCGTCCCCTGTCCCGTGGATGAGTGGAATCTGGGCTGGGTGGGCCATGTGGGGCGGTCTGGCGGTCTGTCTCCACCCTTTCTTTCCGCCTCTGGGCCAAGTTCAGGGTCATTCAGTGCGCGGTGGTTTGCCTGGTAACAGCGGCTGGCCAGGGTTCATGGGGGAGTCCTGGTGTGGTTCACGGGTTCAACGGGTTGAGATCCCGCCGGTGCCTCCCTGGGTCCCAATCATGTGACACTTAGCTGCTGCGAGTACCGCCGCGTGCCCAATCCTCTGGTGAGCCGCCGCTGCCGCCGGACCGGTCCCAACACCACCGCCACTGCCGGCTCACGGTCAGAGCACACACACATACACACACGTCCGGGGCCTCTCGCCGGCCCGCGGTCTCACACCGTCTCACGCACCATGCATGCATGGCAGGAAGGCCTCCGTTGCGCCTCCGCCGCCGCCGCCGCCGCTGCCGCGTCCTCCTTCGCCACGCAGCGCCGCCCGCCGCCTGCACCGGCGCCTTTTGAAAACCCTTTGCTGCCACGCCATGAGTTACGCAAAAACCGACGCCAGCGCCCCTAGCGGCCGTCGACGGCAGTAAGTCGGCCATGCTCGCGAGGGGGGAGCCCATCCCCCTCATGGACGGCGGCTCGGCGACGGGGGGAGGGGGGGGGGGGGCGACGCACGGCAGCGCCAGCCGGCGGCGACGCGCAGGCGGGGGGAGCTGGGAGCGGGGCGTGAGGTGGGGGGGTGAAAGGGGACGCCGCCGGACACGGGGCAGCCGATCGACGCGCCAAATCGACTCACCGGGAGCTGAGGGGCGATGTCACATCCCACGACACGGTCGACCGGCGCTGGTGGTGCTGGTGATGACGTCACAGCCGCGCCATGGGCGTTGCACGGTGCCGCGTGGCCTGCCGCCGCCGCCGCCGCCGCCCGCCGCTGCAGTCCGCGCGGGCGTCAGTTGCACGGGCGCCGCGCCGCGCTGCCAGCCGGGCCCGGTTCACCTGCGAGCTGCTGCCATGAGCGGCGCCGGCACGGTGCACCCAGTGTACAGTCTGTGCGTGCCGCGCTACCCATGGCCACAGCTTGCAACACGACTGCCACCCTGCAACGGGACGCCGTGCCGCGCCACCGCCGCCGCCGCCGCGCCGCCACCGCCGCACACACCGCTCCGACGGACACAGCACACAGCACAGAGCTCACAGCACACACAATTAGCTCACACAGCTCACACAACGCAGCAGCACGGAGACCGGTCCGCTCGCCACCACACCGCCAGCCAAGTAATGGTGCGTTGGGACAGCGGCGGCGCCGGCGCCGGCTAGTCACGAGCAAAAAACCAGACACGCAAAAAAGGGAAAAACGACTCGCCGCGTCCGCACGCAAAAAAGCACGCCAGCGCTGGACAAAGAGGCGGCGGACGCACGCAGGAAAAAGTGGAAACGGTCGCGGCAGCACTGGCGGTGCAGGAAGAAAATCGACAGGATTCTGCCGTGGCTAAATGGAGGAATAGAGTGAGGTTGGTAAGTGTGAATCCTGTTTATTGAGGTGCGTCTCTAGGAAGTTTTAGCGATTTTGGTGGGTATCGGTACAACTTTATCTCTAAACGTAAGTTTTATGAAAGAAGTTGACAGCTAACAAATGATCTTACTATATAATTACAACATTATTGTACAAATATGAAGAAATGTATGGACCCTTTTCAAATTGGCAGAGCAGTCCATTCATTTGAACGACTACAATACAAAGTACGGGAAATTATTAATCAAAACTCATAAGTCCGCCTGAGCAGCCGCTTAAAAGATAGCCCTGAATCCTCCAATAGCATTTTGCTTGTCTGTGCATAAAGTCATTTATTATCCTCATAAGACACAGCCCGTGTTTCGAGCCAGTGTTGGTTGGGGTTCGGTCGAACTGTGCGCAGCTCTAAAGAGCAAAAAAGGCGACGCACATTGGGTGGCGAGCTTTCCGCTGAAAATGGCACGGCATTTTTGCTGCGTGTCTGCCGGACGAGGGAGGAGCAGCGGTGGAGTAAGAGAGAGAGAGAGAGAGAGAGAGAGAGAGAGAGAGAGAGAGAGAGAGAGAGAGAGAGAGAGAGAGAGAGAGAGAGAGAGAGAGAGAGAGAGAGAGAGAGAGAGAGAGAGAGAGAGAGAGAGAGAGAGAGAGAGAGAGAGAGAGAGAGAGAGAGGGAGAGAGAGAGAGAGAGAGAGAGAGAGAGAGAGAGAGAGAGAGAGAGAGAGAGAGATGGGGAAGAGTGATGTAACTACGTTCAGTGAGCATATGGTTCATAAGTGCTCAGTTACACAACACGAGGACCATATATAACTGAAGCCATTGGTCCATCTTTACGTATCAATTGAAATGTTGATCGTAAGATTGATGAAAGACGAGATATGGCTACGACCATAAATATACGCTCAGTATAACAAAGCCATCCATCATTGCAAAGGTAATCGTCATAGTCGGCGGAACGGAGGGGGGGGGGGGGCATCGGGGCACCGTGCTCCCCTTTGATTTTGACATTTTAACTCTCGCCCATGTAGGGGGGGGTTGGTGCGACCCCCCCCCCCCCCGAGGTTTTTCTTAGCTACACGCCGAACCGTTTCAGATAGCCTGCTCAAGTTTTCAGTACCCTTTGGGGCATCCTTTGCGCAACTTTTGGTAAAAAAAAATGTGAAGGCCATGTCAGGTCATGGAGTTATGACGTCATAAAGGGAACAACCTCCGGCCAGATTTACGCTAAATTGGAGATTGCTTCACAATGGTATAAATGCCGACTGACCTGACACACTGATAAATAGTTTTAGAATCATAACTGGCTGATTTGACATTGGCACAATGTCCGTTGACCTTTTCAAGGTTACTAAAGGTCAAGGTCAGGTCAGTGACCTCGGTTGACCTGTAATGACTTCTTGCACTTGTTTGCCTTTTCGGGGTATTTTGATGCCCTGAATTCGAATTTGCTATCCATTTCAGGCATCGTCAGTTGTTTCTTGTAGTTCATTTTGGGTCAGGGTCAGGTCAGTGACGTCACACGCCTGACGTGACCCAATGCACAAATGACCTTGCAGACTTCCGATGCCCCCAACGCATCATTTTTAGAGTTATGACATCGAAATACACACCAAACGATAGAGAATTGATCAAGGATCACGATAGTGAAGGTTTCAAGTCGATATCTCTTACCGTTTTGCCGCAATCGGCGCGGAAATCTGAAAAAGTTAGATTTTTCTGAAAATTTGACCTTTGACCGGTCATAAGTAGGTCAAATGTTGACCAAGGACCAAAAAATATACCACCTATCGCGAGATCTTGTTGAGAGCAATCCGTTTGTCTTTTCCGCTAAGCTCTACGACGCTCCGTTTTCAAACGCCAGGGGGGTCGCACCAACCCCCCCCCCTGCATGGGCGAAGGTGGCAAAACACCGTTTACGGGCGAGGGTTAACATTAGCTCTATGGGCGTTGCATGGAAAGAATGGGACCAAAAGTCGGCAGTGCCCCCCCCCCCCCTAAATTGAAGGTGTTCCACTTCCACTGGCAATCGTTGGTTATTTGATATCAGACAAGAAATATACGTACATACGTACTTCTTCCGTTCATCTTCATGCGTTTGAAGGCAGGTGTTGGAAATATCCACCCTATTCCGTGTAGCGCTGAGCACAGCTCGGCTCGTCACCGGGTCTGAAGTGTCATTCACCGCAGTTACCCCCATTGATGTTGCAGGCAAATTACTCCACAAAATCTTTCACCTGACTCAAGGGCTTTATCATGTGAGTAACGACTGCTTGATATAGGGATATGTTTTGACGTTGAAGTCGGGGCACGCAAGGCTTCACGTATTGCCACCTCTACTACGTAAGGGTGGCCAGTCATTTGTGTTGTTTAGTTTGGAAGAAGCTCTTCCTGCCGGAAATGCAGAGCCATGGGATTGGTCAGAGTCGTTTGACTGAGACGACCACCGACAGTGCTCCGCAGCGGTAGAGGCCGTCCCGGTGGGACAGAAATGTCCCCTTAGGACAGCCCATCCTACCGCTCAAACGGTCACTCCGGAGAGGGTGTACACTGTAGTCCAATGAGGGCTTGCCCTCTCCACCGGTCGTCTGGTGGAGATGATAGCCACCCCAGAAAGGCCCATGTGAGTGAAGATGCCAAATGGGTAGATTCTGATGAAGAAGAGGACGGATGTGGGCAGTGATGTTGCGTTTGCGGGATAGCAATTGGCTGTTGAACTTCGCTGTCGAGAAGTGCGCCGCCGGTATCATGTAGGAAAGCGTGCTGTGCTGCATTTGGATAGCTGGGGACTCGGATGGCTCAGGACAAGTTCGTTCGCAGCGGACTCCATCCATTCCTTTGCATGAAGTGACTGACATCAAAGATGACGCTGTCCTAACCCCCGCCCCGTTGAGGTCTGGCAGGTTAAATTGTGAATATTCGAGTCTTTATGAAGACATGTGATATATATGCATCCACAGAAACCTCCTTGACCATTTTTCTTGGACCTATGACGTCACAGGAAGGTCAAATTAGGTCAAATTGTACCGGTTTACAACGAAAAACATTTTTTTCGTTAAAGTGAATTTAGTCACGTAGGTAAAGGATCATATTCAGTCAGCAAAAGGTTGATAAGAATCATAAATATTACACTTGACTGACTTCAAGCACAAATACCGAAAATATTGTGACGTCACAAGAACAGTCGCTACTTTTTCAGTCATTCAAATGGCTATATCTCAGGCAGTTTAAGAGATATTTTGTTAATTTTTGGCATGTGTAAGGCCAGTAAGAGGTTCTCTAACATATATTCCAGTTTTTTGAAAATTTACCCCAAATTTCAAAGATATCTCAAGAAATCTAAATTTTGAGTTAGGAAATCCCTAGATCTAGATGTTATTATATTTGGAAATTTCGAGATAGCCATTTTGTTTGCCATGCTTTTTATACCTACGGTCCAATTTTTGAGTCGTTAAGTTGAAGCCCTGATTTTCTGCGATTTTTCTCCGCGAACAATTTTTCGATGTTCAGTTTGAGCTCTATAATAGCTCGTGACCTGAGATGATCTGGGACCTATTTGTTTCAGGATTTGTGTAAAATTGATGTCTACTTGAAAGGCTGAAACTCTACTTGAGGCTCATTATGAATAATAATAATATAAGAATAACCAGTAATCTCATTATAAATCAAAAATAGGAGCCAAAAAGTTATATTTAAAATGATCGAATATTTCGCTCCTGGAGCTTCGTCAGCGATAATTACAGAAACAATATCACTGTAATTTTTCTGTAATTATCGCTGACGAAGCTCCAAGAGCGAAATATTCGATCATTTTAAATATAACTTTTTGGCTCCTATTTCTGATTTATATTATGAGGTTAACTGGTTATTCTTATATTATTATTAAAATTGATGTCCGGAGAGGTACTGAAAGTTTCAAGTCGAAACTCTAACCGTTTCTGAGGTATCTCCGAAAAAACACAGGGGGGCTTTGGGCCCCTCCCCCCC